CCAATCCAGATTGGAGCTGCTTTCTAAGACAATGGACTAGCAGGCAAGGCTTTGAGGCTAATGGAAACATCTCACAGACAGCAGTGTTAAGCTTGTGACGATCATATATTTCTGTGGGACATCTCTGGAGGTGCTTTGACAGGTCCAAGAAGGGGAATGGAGCAGGATAGTTGTAAATGTTAGCCAAGGGCCTTTATTGTCACGAATACTTTAGCCTCAACTCGTACTTGTGTCAATAATTTCATCTCTTTGGAGCTTCTTTTCACAAGCAGTGGTTAATTAAGGAACTTTTTGGAGTCTGGCTTTAGTTAGGATTTGTCTACTAAGAACAGAACATAGAGGGCTTGTAAAAACTTAAGACTTAATAAAGACAGAGCATTATAAATATTTAACAATGATGAAGTGTATAGTACTGTGTTTCCACACCTAAATAAAAATAAAGATAAAATGGGACTGGAGAGTTAAATTTGCAGAGTTAAATTAAGAGTTAAATTTGCAGGAATGGAGAGATGGCTCAGTGGTCTAAAACATTCCAGAGGACCCAGGTTCAATTCCACCTAAGCACTGACATGGCAGCTCACAACTGTCTGTAAGTCCAGTTCCAGGAGATGCAACACTCTCACACAGTCATACATGCAGGCAAAACACCAGTCAGTGCTCAAAATAAAAATTAAATTTATTTTAAAAAGGTAAAAAAGAGTGCTTGCTGCTCTTACAGAGGACCTGGGACCTAGCACACAGACTAGGCAACTCACAGCTGTCTGTAACTCTAGCTCCAGGGAATCTGACACTGGCTTCTGGCCTTGAAAGGCACCTGAACACACACACACACACACACACACACACACACACACACACACAAATAAAAAATAGCCTAGCATGGTGGCACATGCTTTTAATCAAAACACTCAGATCTCTGTGAATCTGAGGCTAGCCTAGTCTACATTGTGAGTTTCAGGACCACCGGGACTACATAGCAAGAACTATCTCAATAAATAAATAAATGAATAAATAAATGAGGGGCATTGAGAGAAGGTACTGTGCTTCCATGATTGGAAGAGAGTGATGTAAAATTGGAAGACCCTGGGAATGGGGGTAAGGGTGTGTGTGTGTGTGTGTGTGTGTGTGTGTGTGTGTGTGTGTGTGTGTGTGTGTGTGTGTGTGTGTGTGTGTGTGTGTATGTGATGGAAGAGATTTTGACTACATTTGTCCAAAAGGAATACTAACTTCAACATATGTTAGAATCCTGTACACACAAATTATTAGTTCTGTACTTGGGTGTTGGAATCTGCTCCAACAAGTCAGCTGGGTAGGGGTATGAGGATTGAGAAATGGCAGATAAAGAAACAGAGACAGAAACACAGGATAGATTCGGGAGGACTGCCCAGTCCATGCCTTTCAGCCCCGAGTTTAATTTAGACCCTGCTTATATACAGACTAGGGGCAAAGCAGAACAAAGAGCAGCATAATCAGTTATCCAGCTCCCTGCACTGTCCTTGGATGGAGGAGCAGCCAGGCTCACTATCTATCATGTGAGTAATGCTAGCAGCAAGCAGCTTCATTCCCTATCTCTCTGTACCTTTTGGCTGGCATCAGAAGCTTGTTAGTTAGACAACATGCTCTTTCCCATGAACTTCATCAGAACTTTCTCACGGCTCTCAAGGAGACTGAAACAAGCAGGCTTGAACTCTGTCTTATAAGTCAAAATAGACTCCAGATGGAAACCGAGTCACTCGTGGGCTCCCACACTAAGGAATATTTTTTAACTCTTTTCTTCCCCAGTTTCCTCAATTGAAAAATGAAGATTATTATGATATTTGTAGAAAAGCAGACCAACCTGGAAATCATATGTTAAAGGTTTAGAGACCAGACCAGACCTAGCTAGGTGAATAATGTATGTTTTCTTCATATGAGGAGTCTAGACTTAAAATTACACATGTATTGTGTATTGCAAGAGGAAAAACGAGGTTTGATCACAGCAATCCGTGTGATAGACGTGTGAAGATTAAATATACTAATACATGGGAAACAAATGAATCCATGTCAGACACATCAGAAATACTAAATAAGTACTTGCTGTTATTGTTATCATTTTCCCTTAAATACCTTCACAGGAGATTGTAATGATTCAGGCATTATGCAGAATGAACTCAGGCAGTACCAGGGTTCCATGATTGCATAGTCTGCAGGAGGGTACAAAGGACCCTTTAAAAGAAAGACCCCCACCCACTTACATTCTCTTTCCTGCTGTTCCTCTGGGGCAGACAGGACTTTTCCTGTCTCTCTCTTCTGTCTCGGCGTCTCTTTACCTCTTTTCTCTCTCCTCCCTCTCCCTTTCCCTTTCTAATAAAACTTCTCACTTAAGCTCTGTCTGCCTGGCATGTTTGTCCCCTGCCTCAGTCACCCTCGCCTGCCGTGGAATCCGCCAAGGTTCCCCATGCACATTATCGTAACAGAGGTGAAGGCGAAGACTCAGGAGAGACAGGTGATTTGGCAGTTGTAGTGATATATTATGATTTATTAAAGCTTGCCTGGGGGTACAGAAAGCAAAGCGAGCCACAAGCCACAGAGCCAGGCAGTGGTGGCACACACCTTTAATCCCAGGACTCAGGAGGCAGGCAGACAGATCTCTGTTAGTTTAAGCCCACACTGAGCTACAGGAAAGGACCTCATGTGGAGATTGAGTTTTCTGTCACGGAGAGCTGTTGTCTTTGAGGATTCCTGGAGCCAGGATCACCCTTTCAGTCTGAGGTAGAGGTAAGAGCTAGTGGCTGGCTGATTTGCTTATCTGACCATAAACTTGAACCCCAATATCCATCTCTGGGTTTTTATTTTTATTTTTCATGTTACAGGCAGTGGTGTGGGAGAGAAGAGGGGGCTCCAGAGTTTATGAACCGAATTGACTGGCGCCTTAGGCAGGAGGACAGTCATTTTCTCCTGAGGCCAACGAAACAGGCTAAGGAATGTCACAGATGCAGATGGATTTGGCTTTGAAGGGTTGGACACAGGGCGGGAGTCGGCGACAGATTTCCATTTGATCTGAATAGCTGAAATTGTTGGGGCACAGGGCTGTGTGTGACAGAAGCTCGTGAGTCTCCATGACGCATGCCCTCTTCCCAGTACTAATTTCCAACAGTTGCTTAACGTTCTAAGGGTGAAGAATACACATAGCGTTATCTTGCCTGAATGACGTCAGAGATTGTAAACAAATTTCCCCCGCTTAAAAAGAAATGATGGCACTAGGGAGATGGCTCAGCAACTAAGAGCGCTGGCTGCTCTTCTGGAGGAGTTTGACTGCCAGCACCCACACGACAGCTCACAGTTGTCAATAACTCAGTGCCAGGGGGTCAGACTCCATCTTCTCTGGCCTCTGTGGGCACTGCATGTTCATGGTGCACAGACATATACACAGGCAGACACCTAAATACTTAAAATAAAATACATAAATCTTCAAAAATTCACATTGGCTAATGGTCATGAATACTTTTAATCCCAGTTCCTGGGAAGCAGAGACAGGAGGATCTCTGTGAGTCTGAGGCCAGCCTGGTCTACATATCGAGATCCAGATCAGGCAGAGATATATAATAAGAATCTATCTTTAAAAAATATGGAAGTGAAAATATGCTGAGAAGCCACGTCTTAGAAGTAAAGTGAATAGTAATGCCAATAACTAACATCACTAGACAAGACTGTGCGTTAATGTGTATAAGCACGTGAACACATATAGGAGCCATGCCACTGTGTGATACCATCTTTGTAAAGAAGCTGTCCCATCTGTCTGGGCTAGGACTGAAGGTTGAATTCCTCCAGACTATTGAAGAGGTCACAGTGCAGCACTGAGTACTCCTGCTGGGGGTGCATCTCAGTGTTTCTTGTATTACATTGTGTTTTCTTTTTTAAGGTACCACATGGTCCTTGAGCCCAACAGATGTTATGGGAATGTCTTCCTGCTCTCTCAAAGGAATCCATGTCTCTTGTAGTGAACATCGTAGGCTATGTTATGCAGACACTTGGCACACAGCAGGTGCTCTGAAAATATTTGTTAGGTAGAATGGAGTAATTACAAGAATTAGCAAATGATTCAGCAGGAGAAAAGAGCTTGCTGTTGAAGCCTGACTATCTCAGATCGCAGGAGTCTGAGGTGGATGAAGAGAACAAGTTTCTGTAAATTGTCCTCTGACCTCCACATGTGGGTGGTAGAAACACACACACACACACACACACACACACACACACACACACACACACACACAGACACAGACACAGACACATTTTTTTTTTCGAGACAGGGTTTCTCTGTGACTTTGGAAGCTGTCCTGGAACTAGCTCTTATAGACCAGGCTGGTCTCAAACTCACAGAGATCTGCCTCCCAAGTGCTGGGATTAAAGGCCTGTGGCACCACTGCCCGGCAGGAAAAAAAAAAAAAAAAATTTAGGTTAACAACATTTCTAAATGTTCAATTTCTATTCTCAACTCCAAACGGTAAACTCAACACATTTCTAGTTAGCGTTTTTTGTTTTTTTGTTTTTTGTTTTTTTTCGTTTTTTGAGACAGGGTTTCTCTGTAGCTTTGGAGGCTGTCCTGGAACTCACTTTGTAGACCAGGCTGGCCTCGAACTCACAGAGATCCGCCTGCCTCTGCCTCCCGAGTGCTGGGATTAAAGGCGTGCGCCACCAACGCCCGGCTCTAGTTAGCGCTTTAAGGTCTCATAAATCTGCAATAAAACACCCTATTCATGCATCTTCTGTACAGTGTTTGTAGTAGTTTGGATAAATTTGCCTTCAAAACAAACATACTTAATTATTTTTTTTCCTTTTTGGGCCAACATTCGTTCTTCTGAAGGACTGATACTTGCTATATAACTTTTCCAGCCGTTGTTTTGGAAGGTCCTTTCTCTTTGGCCTCAGTTGAACCTCCAAGCCCAAGCAGGCCAAGAGGGACTGCGCGAACGCGGAAGTTCTGACCCTAGTGCCGCTCCGTAGTCCGTGGCGGGCCCTTTGAAAGTGCGCGCGCCCTAAACGATGCGGCGGTTACTGCGGGTGTTAGCCTGAGCTGATCGTGCACTTCCCGGAGCAGCTGTCCAGACAGCTTTGAGCCAGCTCGGCAGTTCTAACCTAGTGCCACCCGGCGCGGAGCAACCTTTGAAAACGCGCGCGCCTAAACGCTGCGACGGTTACTGCGAGTGTCGGCGGGAGCTGTTCCTGCATCTTCCGGACTAGGCGCTCACACAGCTTTGAGCCAGCTCGTCACTTTTTACCCAAGGGTGTGACTGTGGTAAGGGAAAGCGTGGAGTGACTCGAGGGAGGATAGCGGACAGGGGTGAGGAGCGGAGGATCAAGGACCAGAGAAAGGGGGGATCGCGGATGGGAGGGTGACAGTCCCTAGGGGAGGACCCAGTGGACAGCGGCCGAGGAGATCTACGGGAAGGGCAGCTGATGGAGGGTACACAGCGACGAGATGAGGGAGGACCCAGGGGAAGCAGCGGACGGAGGAGATAGGGCACCATCGGGCACCTCCGAGAATCTGACCCTGAGCTCCTGGATCGCAGAGAGTTTGGGGGTTCAGAGAGGAAATCACCCTCTTCTTCATGAAGGAGACGGGGAAGCACCTCTCAAATAATGCCTCTGTTTTTAAAGGTGAGGCCACTGTAAAGGTTAGGGATGTGGCCTGGGCCCATTGCGTTCAGTCCGTGTCCAGCAAGCTTGCAGCCCTGGGTTCCATCCTCAGGACCGAAAGAGTGCCTGTGGCCCCAGCGCTAGGGAGGGGAGACTGAAGAAAGGACGGGAATGCGGCTGTGGGTAGAGTTTTATACACAGGAATGTTTTGAAAAATATATTCACATACATACATGAAAATTCATAAGGAACCCCATAACCATAGACTTAGCATATGCCTATAAGAAGATACTTTTGAAAAGTCAAGCACTTAAGCGATACTGTAAAGTTACGGGTGGGAGCGCAGGAGAGTTGATTCAGTGGTTTGCAGGGTCCTGAGCTGTTTCCCAGGACCCATGAGGATGGAGTGGTGCACAAGCGCCTGTAATTCCATCCTTCACCTCAGGCACCTGAATCACTGTGCATATACTACCCCCCTGCCACGCACATCAACATGATGGGAAATACAATCTTAAAAGGAGCCATCGGATTAACCAAGCATGGTGTACACATGGTGTACACCCGGAGTCTCAGTTGTTGGGAGTTGAAGCAGGGGGATGCAGCATTGGGTATCAGATGGGTATACACAGCCAGTTGAAGGCCAGTTAAGCACTGGTGAGACCCAGACTCAACAGAACAAAACATGACCAAGGGTTTAGCAAGCCAATCAAATGTGCTATTTCAAACGTGCCCTTTGAACCCTAAACCTAAAGGTTGGGTGGTTTAAAGTTAGTATAGTTACTTAACAAGTAACACCGATGGAAAGCATATACAGACCTAAGACAGTATATAGACTACGGCTCAAACTCAGCCAGGAAGGAAAAATACCACCAGACAACTGAAATGGGTGGGACATAGCATATTTTGGTACAAATAGCATTAAATGGAAGGTAAGGCAGTTTTGAGTGTCCAGAATATAAGGGACTGTTGAAACATTTAGACCTAGGTGTTTTAATCTTTTAAAAACACGTTTCTGTGTATATCCAGTCTTCAAGCTGTGGGAACATGGACATTGACATGCTCCAGGCCACTCTTTGCCAAGCATTTTGCACACGGCTTGCATTCTACAGGCAGATTTGTTCCCTCTGTTTCCCAAACTGGGTTGCACCCATTCTCATCTAGAATCTCAGTGTTAACCCCATCTCCATGGATAAGTCCACAAAATCGTGTCTTCAGCTTTGTTCCAGATGTATATTTGACTTCTTGTTTGACCTTTCCTCCAAGATCCAACAAAGCATCCAAAAATGAGCTCCCAATCTCCCATGCCCTCTTTTTTTTTCATTTGTTCAATCTAGAACTTCCCTCCCACCCTACCCCCTTTATTTTAACTTTTTTCTTCCTAGCCACAGTTAAGCTGTCAGGAAATCATGGCATTTCTGGACAGCTTTAGACATGCTGGATCATGGAGTCATATGTGTGTGTTTCTATATATGGTTTAGTTTACTTGGCATGTTTTCCTGGTTCACTTGTACATAGCAATACTTTGTTACTTGCTATGCAGATCTCACACTGTGCTCCACACTCAGCATCTAAGGGGTCTCCTGTCTGTTTGGACTGTTAGGAGTATGGCTGCTTGTATGCAGTTTTACATGTTTGTTTTGTTTGAGGCAGGATCTCACTGTTGTCCAGGTTGGTGTTAGCCTCCAAGTGCTGATATTACAGGCTTGTCTTAAAGGAAAATGAGACCTGTTCTCCTGGGAAGTATGAGAGGGAAAAACATACTGTTTACTTTTTGTTTTGGCACTGGGGATCAAACTCATGGCGTGTGCATGCCAGGTTAACATTCTACCACTGAGTTACATTCCCAGCTCCTGCTTACTTTTTTTTTTTTTTTGGTTTTTCAAGACAGGGTTTCTCTGTAGTTTTGGAGGCTTTGGAGGCTGTCCTGGAACTAGCTCTTGTAGACCAGGATGGTCTCTGAAACTCACAGATACCCTCCTGCCTCTGCCTCCCAAATGCTGGGATTAAAGGTGTATGCCCACTGCCTGGCTCCTACTTACTTTTTTGAATGAGGTATTTTGTTTTAATCCAAGTCAATATTTTTAAAAGCTTTTTAAAAATTACATTTGTGTATATAAACACACATACATACACACATATGTATATGTTGTATATGTGTGTGGTGGTCAGAAGACAATTTGTGGGAGTTGGTTCTCTCCTCTATATGGGTTCCAAGAATTGAACTCAAGTTGGCAGGCCTGGCAGCAAGTGCTTTTACCTTCTGAGCTATGTCTCTGGCCTCTAAGTATATATTTTATAGTTAAAACTACAACCCCTAATCACTGATAGTATGACCATGAGTAAGCAATTGTATTTCTGGGTTTCATTTCTACCATTGTAAATAAAATTGGACAAAGTATTTATTTGCTGAGGTCATTTTTGGTTCTCAAATCATATATTTCTATGATAAAATGATGTTATGGGATTCTCCTCACAAGTGAGTGTTATTCTTTATAGCTGCAGTATAACTTAGTTTGTTTTCATCATAGGACCTAAAGTGATTGCTACAATGGAAGGGATCAATAATTTCAAGACACCAAACAAATTATCTGAAAAAAGGAAATCTGGTAAGACTGCAGAAGACAGAACTTTTCTTGTTGCTATTTCTACCAGAAATGTTTCAGTGTTTGCTCATTGTCATTGTCTTTGAACAGTCCAGCATTGGTTATTAAAAGCATGCTAACCATAATGGAGCTCCTAATAGTGTGACCAGACTGTCTGCCAACTGACATGGTCATTCTGCATTTAAGGTTCTTCCTGGTGATGGTCTTCTGGCTTGAATCATACATTAACAGGAGTCAGTTCACTCCTTCTAGGAGGAGATTCCTAGGGTTCCTCCAGGAGTCGAGCATCAGGCTTGCATAGCAAGCATTTTTATTGTGGATGTGTCTCGAAGATTGTTTACGGTATCTTTGTTTGAGACGGGGTTTCTCTGTGTAACTGTGGCTGTCCTGGAACTCACTCTGTAGAGCAGGCTGGCCTTGAACTTAGAGATCCACCTGCCTCTGCCTCTGGGGTGCTCGGATTAAACCACTGCCTGATTTGTATAGGATATCTTAAGTGATTGGTCATGTGTAGATTAATAGACACTTGAACAATCCTTTCCACTCCAATATCTAAAATGATTTTTAAAAATTACCTTATTAGACTGTCTCATCATGCTTTTGAATAGAGGTGCTTGCTAATGGACTTATCTGTGCCGTTCCCACTGTATTATTAGATGTAGCTGTTCACAGATACAGTTCTCAGGCTCCAGCCCCTCTATTGCCTCTGAGTCCTGAGATTATAGCTTATGTTCCCACACCCAGCCCATGAGGACCTTTAAGAGCATCTACTTATCCTCCAGTGTGCCCACCCTATTCTGGTCATTTTTGATTAGGTGATAGATGTTTTATGTTGAGTGCTGATTTTTGTCACTCTACAGGGTGTTTGGTCTCATGAAGACCCAAAGCTTATTTGGCTGAATGATGGTGAATCTGCTCCTTTTGAGACTGGCCTTTAAGCTTTCTTACAGACTTTGCTTGGGCTAAAGCAGTAGTACTTAGTTGTTACACTTTAGAGGGCTTTACTTAACAGTCTGCTACAGTGCCGCCTGGTCTGGCTGATGATGGTAAAGTGATCTTACTCCTAGTCTTCCATTGCTTTCCTGGCTCGGGAGAATACTACCCATTATGTGTGCAGTTAAGTTCTAGCCAAGGACTCTATGGGAAATCTTTTCAGTTGCCCATTTTCTTTTAGCTCCCTCCTGTGTTCTGCTCCACAGCTTCCAGCTACCTAGTTGTCCTTGACCTCTGCTCTGTCCCTGTGGTTTGACAGTACTGTTGGGCTGTTTCCTCTGCTTGGGCCTGGACTGCCTTACCCTTTCAGGGTCATGGGGAGATGATAGGACTTGCTTCATTGGTTCGTCCTTGCTCAGAGGACACAGTTCTGCTGTGCCTCTTGTCATGCGTCTGAAAGCTATTGTATTTTGTCAGGTTTTTCAGTTCACAGGGAGAACTGTCACGTCTGCTGCGTGGCCTGTGTCCGAGAACGTGCGGAGGGTGTCGGGGATTGACAACACAGAGACTTGTTCAATGATATAAAGAGAACTTTAAGCAGGCCCCAAAAAGGCCCAAGAAAACTTCCTAAGAAAAGCTCCCACCAGAGAAGCTTCTGCTCTCTCCTCTACCCTGGCTGGTTCTGCTCTGACGCCAGAGGTGGATGTGTGTGGGTTTTTGAAGGTGCGGTTAGTCTCTGGACAAGGTCGAGGTCAGGGCGGTTTCCGTGGGAAGGCCTTTCCCAGGAACTTATTGTATCATTTTTAGTAAACATGTTTTTACTAAACATTGTCTTACAGCTGCCTACTCCCAGGCAGAAGGGGAAGTGGGTCTCTGCTCAAGGTCTGGTGTTCCCACAATTCACCCCTTTTTATTTTCAAATGAGGCACTCCTGGCTTAGGTCAAGTAGGGTCACCCTCCCTTTCCCGTCTTTGGGGGACCTTGAACCCCTGTTTTAGGTGGGAGGGGTCTTCCCCACAGGTTGACCGTCATCGGAGATACCCCAACCTTAAATCATCTGTAACCAACCTTCATGGCTATCGGGATTGCCATGGGCTAAGCTAAGCAATACTTGGTTACGGATCTCTTGTCTCTGGAACAAGGCACGTTTGAGCTCGGCATAAAGCCAGAATGCCTACTGCCACTGCCACCATTTCCAGGACCCCCATTGACATAGCGCCTCTCCATCACCATACCCATCACCAGATCTGGGCCATAACATTCTACCAGCCTTCATCTGTTACAAGGGTAACATGCACGTGATTTACATTCTGTTACAATTTGATAAAGTTTACAATCGTTTCAAGATCTGCTCAGGAAAGCATTTAGAAAGTGCACTTGCACAGATACATTGGGCACAATCATTGATGTTACACATGTAGCATTATGAAAAAATATGAACAATAGTTGTCGCATTAGGACAAGTTGCATTTCTCCAAAAAAAATACACTGGCCTAGTCGTGATTCTAGAAACAGGAACCATCAAGTCTGATATTTCAAGTGACCATGTCCTGTTCAAATACTGAAAAGAGGCTTTTGTCACTCATCATAGTCCATACCAATGTTCAAATATTTTAAATGGGTCCTTTTTTTTTCTCTGTTGGCTTCATGATGAAAACTCATCGGTCCGGAAGGTTGATGCAGCAGGTCTGTTGAGAAACTGGAAATCTCGAACCGACTGTTTTCTTTCTTTCTTGGGCTGCAGATTCGATGACATCAAGGGTCAGGAACATTGATTTAGGAGATCTCACTCAAACTGGCTTAGGTAGGCTCCCATGGTCTCAGGTCCAGTTTTTCTCTGCTCCATGCATCTCACTAAATGGTCTGACAGCTGCTGAAGCTTTATTCTTTTCCTGCAAGAAAACACAAACATGCCCTCGACCCCAAATTAGGGTCTTCTCCACTGTCTAGTGCATGGATGTCTCCATTTGACCTGAGCAATGGTTGCTCAAGTTCCATCATGCCAGAATCTGTCTGAAGCTCACTGGCATTCATATTATACAATTTTTGAATGAGGAGTGTATTATTTGATGAGTCATGTGGGTACTGGGGGCATTATTCTCCCTTTTTTATTTTTAAAAAATATTTTTCTTTTTTTAACTGTTGAAGCTGGACCATAACAGTAGAAGGATTTGTTTACCCTCCTTGGTTAACTATCTAGGTAAATTGGGATTACTACTTAGATTATTTGTAGATACCCAATAAAAAGGACATATCCATTAAATATTTCCCAAAAACTTCTGAAAATCACTCAAAGATTGTAAACTATACTGTGTCCAAATAACTTTTGAAAATTATTGGAAGTCTGTGAGTAGTCTTTCCAAATCTAACCTGTAGAGCTCTCACTAGCTGACAAGGCCTCATTTGCATCTTAAATTTTTCTGTTAAAACATCAACAGACTGGCTGGATGTTCCTTTTGGCTATATTTAAAGCAATCTAGGTAGCTTCTTAACTATTTTTGAAGGTAGATTTAAGTATCCTTTTAATCATATTAGCAGTTCACACTCACGCATTCACAATCACATTTCATACATACCGGTGTGGCCACACCATACATTCAGAACATACATGCATCTTTCAGTCATCCTTTTTCCCTAGGTCATGATTAGTCTGTTGCAATGAAGCTCCCTTAATTGAAATCTATGTAAAAGAACAACTCCAGCCAATACTTGAACTAAAAAGGTTAAAAAGTCCTATATGTTTTTATCATTCCTCCATTTGAGCTACAGTCATGGGGTACAGCCGTACCTACTCCTTGTAACTCTGTAGATGCAAGGTGGAGAGGCCAGGCTTTTGGCCAAAAGTTTTTAGAGATGACTCACAAAATAGAACTTAAATGTAAACAAAATTTTCCATTCCATATACCTTTGTCTTTGTCTTTTTCTTTAATTAATACCAGTACCAATTTTTTTTTTTTGAGTCAGGGTTTCTCTGTATTGTTTGGAGGCTGTCCTGGGACTTGCATAAAGGTGTGTTGGGATTAAAAGCGTATGCCGCTGGGAATCTCTTGGATTCCCCTACTTCCTGACCCTGGTATCAGGCTTAGGAGGGGGAAACTCAGAATGTCTAGTTTCTGACTTTTTAATCTCATTGGCAGCAGCCGCTCCCAATGTATTATTGGTGTTATAAAAATTGATGAACAGGGAGCTGGAATGACTAACTGGCATTAACATGGGGGGGAATCCTCACCAACGCCCATATTTCCCTTACCTGAGTGTTCAGCAATGGTTGGATCTTTATCATGGTGAGCATTCCTAGTATCCGGAGTAGTATTGGGGTCGACATGCCTGATGCACCGTTCGGGGACCCAAATGGGCTTCTCACTTCCTGGAGGGAAAACACAAACAGCCCCTCGGACCCTAGCTAGTAGGGGAGTGGGTGGCTGCCATTTTCCTGTAATCAAATCCTTCCATCTGACCCATCCCAAGGACTGGGAGGGTTTGTTCCAATGTCTCTCCATAGCAGACAAATTATTACGGTCTACGGTCAAAAAATTTAAAATGTAAAGTATGGTGGATAACTGAATATTGGGGGAGGTAACATACTCCCCCTTTTTTATTTTCTTAAAATACTGTTTGAGAGTGGCATGGGTGCGCTCCACAATAGCCTGTCCCGTGGGGTTGTGAGGAATACCAAAAGAATGGACAATGTGATGTTCCCTGCAAAAGGCAGCAAAGCGATTGCTGGCATAGGCAGGGCCATTGTCCGTTTTTAGGGCATCGGGTACGCCCATGTAGGCAAAGGCCTGCAGGCAATGAGAAATAACATCTTTAATCTTCTCTCCTGAGTGGAGAGAGGCAAAAATCAGTTTAGAATACGTATCCACCGAGACATGCATGTATTTTAATTTCCCTGCCTGTGGCAGGTGAGTGACATCCATTTGCCAGAGATGGTTGGCCCTGAGGCCCCGGGGATTTTCCCCTCATTGGGAGAATTATGATAAGGGGCACAATCAGGGCACTGAGAGGTAATCTGTGTAGCTATGGATAAGGGGCACCCAGTGTGAAATTTAATGGAGCGGGCATTTAGA